GCAGCCAATTTGGAATCTATATCCCTTTTGCAGCCGATCGCGAGAGAAGCCTGTGCCATCGCTTCATGTGACGGCGTAGTAATCAGCATCAATGCGAGTACAAACCGAGCGCTACGCTTGCGACCGATAAAACCAGATGCACGTAAATCATGACTGGACAGTTATCAGTCGTCTTCGCCGCGCGGCTGCCCGCTGCCTCGCGATCCTATACAGAAAGACTCGTCGAGAAGCGGCGTTGCGGCCACGACTTCATTCGTCGGAACACATGCATTCGTCGCTCCCGAGCCGTCGTCGTCGTCGTCCGCGACGTTTCACGCTTTTCGCTGCTCGCCGACGCGCATCGGCGACCTACCAATACCGACAATCGATATTTCGCCGAGTCAAACGACGATGAGCCACATCGGGTGTCATCGCTTCTATCTATCTCAATCTATCTCTCGGCTCCTAGACGCGCCTCGATAAAGAACTCCCGTGGGCGTAGCTAGCAGTTGACAGAGAATAGAGTATAGAGCTGGCATGCGACTAGTACGTTACTCGCGCGCGAAGCACGGTGTGAACGTTGGTCCGTCTGTCTTAACGTATAGCGGGTCGCGGCGGCCAACGCAGGCGGTCGACGCGCGCGTTACACACGCGTCTAGAGCGAACAAACCTTCGACGCAGCAGCAGCGGCAGCGGCGGCAGCAGCAGCAGCAGCAGCGCAGCAGCGGTTGGCGGCGACGGCAGCGGCAGCGCTGTATGCGCTACGTCCGGCGACGTAATAACGGTATATCCTCAGCTCGCGGAGCTATTATAGGTTGAAGTCCCGCGATGGCTCGCTGATTACACACAGTCTCCTCTCGCAACGGTGGCAGGAGAGACAGAGAGAGATACAGAGAAGGAGAGATGACGATAGAGAGAAGAAGCAGAAATAGAACGAGACAAGAGAGGGGAGAGCGGTCAGAGGTCCCCATGCAGGTGGTGTTCGCGCTTCGCGCTCTCTCTGCATACACGCACATCACGAATTCGTTACGATGGCCGGAACCGGCGTCACGAGACACACACACATCACACACACACACACACACACAGCACACACACCACACACACACACACACACACACACCACACACAGGAAAGGAGAGAGAGAGACGAGATGAGAGGAGATTGACGGCGAGAGAGAGAGAGAGAGAGCGATGGAGAGTCGATGTGCGCTCGCGCCGCGAGAGAGAGAGAGAGAGAGAGAGAAAAGAGTGTGTGTGTGTGAGAGAGAGAGAGAAGAGAGAAGAGAGAGAGAGAGAGAGAGAGGAAAGAGAAAAGATGAGCGATAATCTCTGTTTCCGTCTCTGCGGGGCGGCGTACAATGTGTGAGTAAGTGGCCGTGCACACACACACAACAACACACACACACACACACACACCACCAACACACACACACACACACACACAACACGACAACACAACATATCACACACAACACAACACACGCACACACACCACCACACACAACACACACACACACACAACACCCCTCCCCCCCCCCCCACACCACACACCCACACACACCTTACACACACGCACGCACGCACGCACGCACACCCACACAACCCACACACAACACACACACACACACCACACACACACAGCACGTACGCACACGCACGCACGCACGCACGCACGCACGCACGCAGCACGCAAACACACACACACACACGCACGCACGCACGCACGCACGCCCACGCAGCACGCACGCACGCACGCACGCAAAACACACAACACACACACACACACACACCGCTCAGCTGCAGCAAAGTTGATCGCTGCTGCTGCTTTTGCGGTGCGAGAGCAGGAGGAGCGTTCGTTGTGTACGGGGGGAGGGGGGGGGAGGATCAGCGGGGCTCGTACGTTCACCGCGAGTTCTGCGTCCTGCCTCACACTGAGCAGTTAACTGAATACACCGGTGGCTGCTAAGTGGATGGATTTAGTGTCGAGCCCTCTAACGATGGCGAAGCTTGCGAGAGAGAATGTGTAAAAGCGCATTCCCACGGGGACGACAGTGACTATATACAGTGATGCTACACAAGAAGAAGGTGCCTCGCTTGCGGAGATTGCAGCAGCACCACGGTTTCTCGCATGAGAGACAGAAGCTGTTTTAGCACATGAAAGATAAACGCCTATTCTCGAATAATATATTCAGCTCGCTCTGTCACACCTGCTCTTACGTGTAACTTAGACAATGTCAAGTGAGGCCAAATGAATCTGTTCAATGTTGTTCAAATGTCAGTGCGTGCAATTTTATCAATAGTATACATGAATAGTGAGATTTCTCTATTCATGTACTTCTGATTTTATTCTACAAGAATGCCCCCCTCTCAACAACCATTGATGCAACCCCGTACCACCAGCAAGAGACCATCGTATCCGCGTAGCGGTGTCGTTTGTATGAACGAATATACACAGATAGCCTGAAATACTCATGCAGAGTAACCATAGTTGCGTGTTCATAGCAGGGAAACAAAATACTCGTACTTGTAGCCGGGTTTCCGCCATTTGGACTGGCGTGAGATGAGAATTTCGTGGACCGTGCTAGGTAGCAGCGGCAGCAGACACGGTTAATTTATTGCATGTATAAAATAAATTCGTATTTCTCTAGATATCGACGAAATATATCTATGTGCACGAGTAGCTATATAAACTATTACTACTACTACTACTACTACTACTACTACTACTACTACTACTACTACTACTACTACTACTACTACTACTACTACTACTACTACTGCCTGCCTGCTACTGCACTTGCTGCTTGCTGTGCTTGCTGCTGCGGCCTACTCTACTACTACTACTACTACGACGTTATTTACTACTACTCATTACTATTACTATTACTATTACTATTACTAATACTACTACTACTACGACTACTACTACTAATACTACTACTACTACTACTACTACTACTACTACTACTACTATTACTACTACTACTGCTACTGCTACTGCTACTACTACTACTACTACTACTACTACTACTACTACTACTACTACTACTACTTAGACTCTATATCTAAGTCACATTTATGGTATGTGTGGTTATGGTAGCATTTAAATAAATTCCGGTGAAAAAACCTGATAGAACATGCAGTCCGTTCGGTGCTGTAGTTGTTATTTAACGAAACCTGTTTATAGATCGAAAAACAGCGTCACCTCTGCTCATCGTTTTACGTTACGCGGATCTGCCCGCCGAAAAAACACGCAATAACCGCGAGTGTTTTGGTTTAAGTTTTATATAAACAAGTGTGTGTGTGTTTTGCTCGTGTCTTCAATCATAATGAACAAATATAGTTCCAGCGTGCCCTTCGTTTGGGGTTATGTTATTCCGATTTCATAACCAGCTCTGCGGAACTTTACAGCGTGACGAGGTGTTAGTGAGCATTCCAGTAGCGAACAACCGAAATTAATGAACAAATATAGTCCTATGAAAATTAGGGGCGTCCTGAAGAACGACTAATTATTACTTTATTATTATAGTTCCAGCGTGCCCTTCGTTTGGGGTTATGTCATTCCGATTTCATAACCAGCTTCGCTGAACTTTACTACATGCCGAGGTGTCAGTGAGCGTTAGGTGAGGATTCCATTAACGAAGATGCCGAGGATTCTATTAGCGAACAACTGAAATGAAGCCAAGCTGCTGTATCCACGGAACCGCCTCATCGTATCAAAGTGCATTGCTATTACCATAAAATACACCTTACGCCAACACTTCTTAATTGTAACGTAATTCCGAAAAACAAGTTCATGGAATGTTTTATGGCTGTAAGCGCGTGTATGTATACATTCGATCGCGAGTTCTTAGGAGTAAAGGTCTATCGAGTTGCAATATATTGGCCTATTGACGAGAGGTTTTAAAGGGGCAGCTGTTATATAGCTCACAATATTATGCGAGCCGTTCGAATAAACAAATACACAACCACCCCGGCTTTCTTCTCTTTATATTGGCAATACAGAAATAGGTCCCAGCCGGTGTTGTAGACGGTGTGTCGACGTGTTTGAAGGTACGAATTAAAAGCAGCTGGCTCTGTAAAAGCACGGAGCACGAGCCACGAGCGCGAAATACTAAACCTGTAATCGATCTTGTACTCATCCCTCGGGATTAGGTGACACTGTGCGGCTACTGAAGCCCGCCTGAAACCGTAGTGACGTCTATCACGTCAACCTGGCCTGCTGGAGCGATGTCGCAATTTGAAGTCTATCTCCAGTCTCTGTAGTCATCGCTGTAACACGTGGCGTATGTTGTTTCATAAATGGCAATAGATGGCATCGCTTTTATTTTTGGCGCTAACGAGCAAGCGCGTATGGTGGCGTGCGTGCGTGCGTGCGTGCGCGCGTGCCTCCGTGCGTGTACGCGGGTGAGTGTGAGGACGCCACCGGCGAAAGGCCCGTAAAATATTTATTGAAAAAATGGTCCGGTAATCTTTCATTCCATTGCTTTACTTTCTGGTCGTGTTTTATTACTTTACTTATTGACTGAAGGAACTGAAAGTTAGAGCAACAGAATGCTATCAGAGCAGATAACGTATCGACGCGGATGAATATAATATCGACGGAATGTGGAATGCGAGACACTGTGTGGTGCGACCGCACCAAACGAAGCTTTGCTGTTATCACAACAACGCGCGCGCGGGGGTTGAGTGTTTCCGTTTTAAATTGGGGGTTTGTTATTGCATGGTGACACCAAACACGCGAAAGAGCGGCAACAGTCGGCGATGCCAATGTCTTTCCAGGACATCGCAAAAAAACAATAATAATATAATGCTCGTTCAGATCATTCCGCGCTGCGTTTAAGTGCTGAGGCGGGAATCCACTAGCAAATTACTGGTCGTAAGGGTGTGGGTGATTGACCATCTTCGATAAGCCAATCGTGCTATTATCACTGTTAGATGCTAGCTGTTCGCAACAACGCCGTGATGCTAGAATGATATCATCGATCAACGATAAAATAATATGCAAATAAATCAACGTCACATGACATTCTACCCGAACTGTATATTTTACTCAAAACAGGCGCTCACAGTAGGTATGTACAAATGTCGAGTGATTATTAATATGTACATTTTTAAGGGGGTTCATTATTGGTATGTACATTATTTTTTTCAATGGACGGCAGCATTCGTGCTATCCTAGGTCAACCAACTTGTTTAATTAATAACATATATGTACAAAATAAAGATGATACTTTAAATAATAATAATAATCGACGATAACTAGTTTTGAGTTCTACTATTGTATATAACGACTTACCTCCTTAGAAACAAAGACATAAAACAAACAATACGGCTATAATGCAAGGAGTATGAATCGCAATAAAAGCATAATAACAACGCATACATCTAAAAGAACACGTTGACCGCTAAAGTCGCAAAAAACACACTCACATACATATAGATTTATATACAAACGAGTAACGATTAAAGTCGTATTTTGTTCACCTGAGATACCCCGCTTGCTGTGTATAGTATCCACTAGCTATATTTAAACCGAAAAAAAATCATTCACAGCCATATTCTAAAATTATAACAATAACCATAAATATAAAAAACGTGCCCGAATGACTTCTTCTAGGATTAATTTAAATCAACTCGCCGCGCAGAGTTAGGAATAAAGCGGTGTGCTCTCGACGAGATAATTTCCGCTGTAGTTGCAGCTGTTGCCTGCCTGCTGGTAGCCGCTGGGCACGTACTCTAATGTTTGTTCCGTTTTCAACCGCTTGGGGGCGCCATGCACCGCATCGTCTGATGCTTGCCTACTTCTGGCATGGTTGTACATGTTATGAGAGCTGGATATTGGCCGCGATGCCGTGGCGAGCCACGACCAAGGTCGAATCTCGGTCTCGCTGCCGCCCGCCGTCAAACTTAACTGTTTTCCGTCGCCGAAGCTGCACGCAGACGCATGAATCTCATCAGGCGAGCCTCTCGGTAGAGTTGGACTAGCGTAGGGCGACGTAGTGTAGCCCTGCGCCGCTGCCATTTGCGTATGCGCGCTTTGGTTATGCCGCAACGGGTTGCTGCTGCTGCTGCTGCTGTTGCTGTTGTTGTACTGACGCTGACACGAAGGCGGTTCGTCGCTGTTGACGTACGATGGTCTCATACTGAACACACTCGACTGCGTATAGTTGCTGTTTCGGTGTATAGGTGGCGCTACCGTGTTGGGACTTCGATGGGCGGAGGCTGTCGTAATGTTTGGGTTCTGGTATAGAGTGGCGGCGTTCTGGTTCAAGCTATAAACATTCTGAACGTGTGGGCTTAACTTCGGAGGCTGGCTGTAGCTGACCATGCTCATTGGCGGCGAAGGAGTGAAGCGGTCAGTTGACCTAGAAAGACCAAAACTATTTATTATTATTATTATTATTATTATTATTATTATTATTATTATTATTTATTAACGAGTAAAACGTAAACGCGCGTAACGCGAGACTAGTGTTTAATTCGTTTCGTTTAACATTGTATTCGTCACGCTTATCAGCGTCCTAATTAATTTTGTACGCATGATGATTTTATTGATTAACACCATGCGCTTCATGGTAATGAATTAATGTAATTAAGTATGTCATTTGACACGTTTTCTTACCTTTCGTAATTGTCCCTGAATCCCTTTGCAAAAGGGTTGTAGTCTATCTTCAACTGCGTAATCTGTTTTCGATATAATTAACAATATTTGATTGATGATAACCGATTCATAAGAACCAAACAAGTAATTTACTATTATGTCGTATAATATCATATTATATCACACGGGAACGCGGATGACTAACTAAAATGCGCAAGTTTGTTTTTATTCACTTCTGATAATATCTACATTTCATAAATTAGTCAAGCTGTGCATAGCGGGCATCTGTGTGTACACAATTAATGCTCTTTTCTATTCTCAGCGGTCCGCGAAAAGACCAATTCATGTTCAGCATATTATACTATTCAGATTACTCACGTCAGTGTTTTGGTACGCAGTTACTCCGATGAACTGCGTTTCCGGGAAGCTGTGCGTCAGTAACTTTCGGTGCTCGCGTGGACTGCGCATGCCCACTTCAATTATATGAATGCGAGGCTGGTAGCGATGCATAGAATTCAAGACGATCTGAAATAGGAAATCGTGGAATAAGCAATTTACTTAGAGTTCGTAGCTCTTAGGCTTCAAAGTAAGGGTGTGGATTAGGCCTACATTGTGTGCGTAAAATTACGTCGGAAATAGCTCTTAACATTTTATATACACAATTTGTCATTGAAACTAGTAACACTTGGTATTCTTGCCAATGCGGGACCTTATTAATGGGCAATGTAATTTGTAAGGGTATAGTTTGTAATAGCCTCATTATGTGAGCACTATGAAGAGCATAAAACGTGCGTATGTATGCTCTTAAATACTTCTAGGTTAGCATATCGCATCACCATTTCACATAGTGCCAAAGTGGACACAGTTTATCTGGTATGCTCGTATTACCCACGACGTCATGATTCAAATATAGAATAGGGCTACTATTTCTGTTGACGTAATGTCAATAGCTGAACGGGGGCGTTTATGCCAACATTATATTCCCGAGAATTAAAAACAGGTGAACATAAATTTTCTAAACATTCAAAAAAGACTACTGCACTCGAGCAAGATGGCGCCACATGTCCACAGATTTAGTGCATAATTGTTGCCGGTCGGTTATATATACAGCGTCGGAGTTTTCACTCTGTAGCAGCAGCAGCAGCAGCAGCTCAAACAGTGCTAATGTTGGCGAAAATAACTACCAAGCGACACGATAACACGCTATAGTTTTGCGCGATTTAATAAAACTCAATATTAACGCAGTGCAAAAGGCGGCCACCTTTCGCGGCAGAGGTTATTGTCGCGCGCGTTTAACCTGAAAGGTTACCGAGCGGAGATCGATTGAACAACTCGTGTTAAACGCAACGCGAGGGGGCAACATTGTGGCGCGCGCTTTTGTCACAAAATATACGTGCGTCTCTGTTTGCGTTGCACTCGTATACAGAATTATCTGCAAACAGAGTTATAAGTTATCTATAGCGATTTGATTCACGCGAGGTGGCCGCCAACAAAAACGGCGCTATTAAATATTTAGCGGTGGGATCAGTGAGACAACAGTGCGCAGCGCCGCGGCCGCTTTCAGGTAGCAGCTGACAACACACGCGGCTCGCTATCGGGGCCCGAACCCAAATTTGCGCATGCGATTTAAATCGATGGTTGCTTCAAGGTGGTATTCGATTCTGTCAACTCGGCTGTTTGTCGAACACCTATAGCAGTGGAAGGCGCATACTGTAAGCTATCCGTGGTTTATCAACAACCACTCTGTGTGCTACATGGGCCACGACTTGTCGATCTAATCGTTATGTGTGTGTGTATGTATGTGTGTGTGTGTGTGTGTGTGTGTGTGTGTGTGTGTGTGTGTGTAACGATATGTTGTTCGGCTTGCATAATACTCATCATGCTCTATTGTGTTTTTGCTTTTATACTGTCTTGAGAATGGCGAGTGGCAACTGCGATAATTGGTAGAAAGGCGCATATGGTGAGAAAGAGAGAGAGAGAGAGAGAGAGAGAGAGAGAGAGAGAGAGGAAGGGAGAGGAAAAGAGAGAGGTATCAATACAAACAGTTACCCTAGTTGGTAGGGCTTCTTTCCAGTACACCTATTGTCCGCTTTATCTGTCTCATAAAATATAGATTTACTTACCTCGATGAAAGATTTCACATTAAAGATTCATACCTGCATTCCATTGTTATCGGTTTCCGTTGACGCCATGGTGCCAGAAAGACACCGGGTGTCTTGTACTGTTACTGATTATCCACGTAGCATCTGATACCTATCTTAGTCTTGTCGTACTCGGCTACGTGCCTTGTCTTCAGAAAAGCGACGAAGCGACATTCGGTTTCTTCGAAATATCGGCCCGAAGCAAGGCATTCATGCTGCCTCAACGCGCAGCCAATTTGGATCTATATTCCCTTTTGCAGCCGATCGGAGAGAAGCCTGTGCCATCGCTTCATGTGACGGCGTAGTAATCAGCATCAATGCGAGTACAAACCGAGCGCTACGCTTGCGACCGATAAAACCAGATGCACGTAAATCATGACTGGACAGTATCAGTTCGTTCGCCGCCGCGGCTGCCCCGCTGCCTCGCGATCCTATACAGAAAGACTCGTCGGAGAAGCGGCGTTGCGGCCACGACTTCATTCGTCGGAACACATGCATTCGTCGCTCCCGAGCCGTCGTCGTCGTCGTCGCCGACGTTTCACGCTTTTCGCTGCTCGTCGACGCGCATCGGCGACGTACCAATACCGACAATCGATTATTTCGCCGAGTCAAACGACGATGAGCACATCGGGTGTCATCGCTTCTATCTATCTCAATCTTCTCTCGGCTCCTAGACGCGCCTCGATAAAGAACTCCGTGGGCGAGCTAGCAGTTGACAGAGAATAGAGTATAGAGCTGGCATGCGACTAGTACGTTACTCGCGCGCGAGGCACGGTGTGAACGTTGGTCGTCGTCTTAACGTATAGCGGTTCCGGCGGCCAACGCAGGCGGTCGACGCGCGGTTACACACGCGTCTAGAGCGAACAAACTTCGACGCAGCAGCAGCGGCAGCGGCGGCAGCAGCAGCAGCAGCAGCAGCAGCAGCGGCGGCGGCGGCGACGGCAGCGGCAGCGCTGTATGCGCTACGTCCGGACGATAATAACGAGTATATCCTCAGCTGCGCGGAGCTATTATAGGTGAAGTCCCGCCGATGCTCGCTGATTAACACACGTCTCCTCGTCGCAACTCGGTGGCAGGAGAGACAGAGAGAGAAAGAGAGAGAGAGAGAGAGAGAGAGAGAGAGAAGAAGAAAGAGAGAGAGGAGCCACAACACATACAAACAAGCGCACGCGCGCGGGATCGCACACACACACGCACACGAGCGACGACACACGACACAACGCGCACGAGGGCTACAGCACGCGCGCGCAGTACACACACACCACACGGCGCGCGCGCGAGCACACACACCACACACACACACACACCACCACACACATACACACATACACACAACACACGCACGCACGCACGCACGCACGCAACACACGACATACATACACACACACGCACGCGAACACACACACACACGACAGCACACAGCACAACATCACAAACGGCGCGCACGCAGCACACACATGCACACACACACACACACACACACACTTACACGCACAGCACACGCACGCAGCACACACACACACACACAGCACACAACACACACACACACACACATCACACAATAACATACACACACACATAACGATTAGATCGACAATGGTTATTATCGTGCGCCCATGTAGCACACAGAGTGGTTGTTTATGATAACCACGATAGCTTACAGTATGCGCCTCCACTGCTATCTAAGGTGTTCGAACAAACAGCCGAGTTCGAACAGAATCGAATACCACCTTGAGGCAACATCGATTTAAAATCGCAATGCGGCAAGATTTGGGTTTATTTTTTTTATTATTTTTTTTTTTTTATTATTTTTTTTTTTTTTTTTCTTTTTGTGTATATTTTTTTTTTTTTGTTTTTTTTTTTTTTATTTGGGGGTAGAAGGGG